TAATCTAGGCCAAAGGCACAGGACATATTCTCCCAGACTCCTGGCTTGACCAGCCACACTGGCTAAGTCAGCTACACACCCACAGATGCAGCCAAGGGGAATACGTACACATATCTCAAAATTTGCTGTTACAGACTTACAAGGTAAAGCATATTTAACTCAATGTTGGTTCACATCATAGTTTCTCTTATGCCGATGTATGGTACAGGGGCCTCCACACGGCCTCTGGATGCGTAGGAGATGGGCAGGTCTTCTTTTCTAGACTTTTCTTCCTGGTGCTTCCACCTGCAGGATCAACAAGTCCTGGCTGCCCTGTGCATGACTCCTGGCAGGCTAATGGCTTGATGAAATGCCAACATGGAGCTGTTTAAGTATTTGCCTTTTAGATTCATTGGCTTATTTAGTTTAGCAATATATTTTTATTTTTTAAGTTTTTTAAAGATCTATTTTATTTTTATTGGAAAGGCAGACATACAAAGAGAAGGAGAGAGAGGAAGATCATTTGTCCAATGATCCCTAAATGACCACAACGGCCGGTGCTGAGCCAATCCAAAGCTAGGAGCCAGGAGCTTCTTTCAGGTCTCCCACACGGGTGCAGGGTCCCAAGGCTTTGACCCATCCTCGACTGCTTTCCCAGGCCACAAGCAGGAAGCTGGATGGGGAGCAGGGCCACCAGGATTAGAACCAGCATTCATATAGGATCCCAGTGCATTCAAAGCCAGAACTTGGGCCAGAGTGTAGCAATATATTTTGAGAGACAGAAAAAGAGACAGTCGATTCCTATCACACGTCTCATTTCTCAAGCGCCCACAAAAGCCAGCAGGGCCATAGCAGAGCCAAGAACTGAGAACCCAATCCAGGCTTCCTGCTGGGGTAGCTGGTCACGACTGAGTCCTCACTGGCTCACCCACTCCCCCTGCCAGGGGGCACATGAGCAGGCAGCTGGAGTTGGGCACAATGCTGGGACTCCAGCTCGGGCACTGTGATGTAGGCTGCACGTGTCCCAAGTAGTGCCATAGCCACTCGCCAAATGTCTCCTCATTTTTAAAAATTGTTTTCCCTCTGACCTCTCAGGGTCATCGCTCTGAAAATTGCTTGGAATTGGAATGTCCTTCATCTTGGTCGGGTGAAATTGATCTGTCCTGCAGAGGGGGAGGGGATGGCCCTCATCACCATCTGTCAGGCTCCTGCTGGAGGTTTCCTTCCCCAGCTCTGCTGGGAGCCTGGCAGCTCCTTCTCTTTCCCTTCTGGAGTCACCTGCTCTGCACGTCTCGCTCTGCCTGGGCTTGGCTCTGTGAACGTACCCACTTTCCACAGCTCTAGCGACTTGCACAGTAGACGAGTGGGTGCCCAATCTTCTGGCAGGTGCTACAGCCTAGGTTTGACCTACACCCTTGGGCATCTTCTCAAATATTGCCACGTCTAGTTCTTATGAAGGTCTGCTCGGAGTGGGCGAGCCCAAGGTGGGGAGACCTGCTTGAAATGGCTCTGCCAAGGGGAAGAGAAGTGTTTTCTGGGCATACAACTCCCTGCATTTTAATTAATACCCAAATGACTCCCTTGCACAAAGTCCCAAGTGCACCTGTGAGCGCAGCTAGGTGAGGTTGCTCCATTCTCTTGAGGTCACTTTTGTGCTTGTTTCTTTCGATGGTTCTCCTCAGTCTCCATCCCAAGCAGGGAGAAAGGACCTAGTTCATTCTCCCAGTTCTCGGTGAGAACTCACTGAGCTCAGTGGATTGCACTGGTACCACAGGAAAATAATACCAACTATGGCTTCATATGAGTCAAAATACGTCCAAGTGGCCTTCAGACCTAATGACCAACAGGTGGCAGCAAGATTACCCCTAACAACAACCTAGCTTTGAAAATGAAATAAAATTCTTACACAGTAAAGAAAAGTTGAAAGAATATGCCTTTTCTAACCTGCCTTACAAATGATACTTAAACCTAGGACAAATGATGCTTAACCTATAGGACACCTGGTTTCTCCCTAATTCTGGGACCTAATCCAACCAGAAGGGGGAGAAAGGTTGTACAGACAATGGTGCAGCCTCAACATGTCATCACATCAGGTGGTGAGTGGTGAGCCAGGAACTGGGCCTACAGAGACCATGGTGAAAATCTTAACATAAGAACCCAGACCAGGAAGTTGCTACAGGGAATGGCACATGTGACTGCAAATACTCTTGTGCCAACTACAATGAATAAAAGCAAACTGTAGACCTGTGGGTGACACAGCTTAGAAACCTGCCCCAAGGAGAAGACTCTGCTAACCGAAAGTACAATGACCAAGAGCAAAAGAACAGAGGCACAGTGAATATTATTGAAGACTCCCCTGCAAAGGAGCACAAGCCTTTGCCAACCTCAGAGTTCACTGAGGAAGACATTGAGAAAATGGGGATTACAGAATTCAAGACACTTGTTTTAAAATTTCTTATCATAATGAGAATCACATAAAGCAGGCATTCAAAAAATTCAAGGAATATGTCACACTGGAAAAGAATCAAATGAAAGCTGATATATCAGAAATGAAGGAAACAGTGGAGCACATGAAAAGTACAGTGGAGTGTCTCCAAAATAGAATAAAGGAGGCAGAAGAAAGAATCTCAGAATTAGAAGGTATTTTCTGTCACCAGGGGGAAATAAACAAACAGCTGGAAGCAGAGCTGGATCAGGCCAAAAAAAGTATGTAAGAACTGAAAGACAGAATTAAAAGGCCAAATGTAAGAGTTATGGGAGTCCCAGAAGGTGTAGAAAGAGAAGCTGGGTTGAAAAGAGTATTTAATGTAATATTAAAGGAAAATTTCCCTAACCTAGACAAAGAATTGGGAAACAACCTCTAGGAGCGTCACAGAATTCCCAACAGCTTGATCAAAAGTGATCTTCACCAAGACACATGATAATCAAGCTCTCTTTGGTTGAACATAAGGAACAGATCCTTAAATGTGCATGTAAAAAAAATTAATTGACATATAAAGGAATGTCAATTAAACTCCTATGAGACCCCTCACAGGAAACTCTACAGTCAAGAAGAGAATGGAGTGACATATTCCAGATTCTAAAAGCAAAAAATTGTCAACCCAGGATAACATACCAAGCAAAATTTCCTTTGTCTTTGAAAATAAAATTCTTCCCTAGCAAAGAAAATTTGAATGAATATGCCTCTTCCAAACCTGCCCTACAAATAATACTTAAAGATGCTCTCGGGCCCAGCGCAATAGCATAGTGGTTAAAATCCTTGCCTTGCACGCACTGGGATCCCATATAGTCACCAGTTCTAATCCTGGCAGCCCTGCTTCCCATCCAGCTCCCTGCTTGTGGCCTGGCAAAGCAGTCAAGGACAGCCTGAAGCTTTTGGACCCAGCACCCGCATGGGAGACCCGGAAGAAGTTCCTGGATCCTGGCTTTGGATTGGCTCAGCACCAGTTGCTGCGGCCACTTGGGCAGTGAATCATCGGATGGAAGATCTTCCTCTCTGTCTCTCCTCCTCTCTGTATATCTGACTTTCCAATAAAAATAAATAAATCTTTAAAAAAAAAAAAGATGCTCTCTTGACAGAGAAAAGGAATAGCGTCCACTAAACCAAAGGCAGATGCAAAGAACATCTCAGTAAAATAACAACAGAAGACTAAATCAATGAACAACCCACTGCAGAAATGACAGGACCAAAGTACCACCCATTCCTCTTAACCATGAATGTAAATGGATTAAAGTCATCAATCAAACATCATAGATTAGTACACTGGATTAAAAAACAAAAGCCATCTATTTGTTGTCCACAGGAGACATATTTCACCAATAAAGATCAGCGGAGACTATATCTCATGGATTTTGATTGGTTTTTGTTAGTGTCACATCTTCAAAATACTTTCTTCTGATTAAATTACTCAATGAGTCATAGCTCATTACAGAAGAATCATTTTCTTCAAGAATTTCTTGATTTTCTTTTTCATTTCTTTAGCGACACATTAGTCATTCAGTAGCATGTCATTTAACTTCATGGTATTAAATTTTTTTGTTTTCTTCCTGTTGTTGATTTTGTTTGTGGATTTTCATTTAAGAGGATGTACAGTAACTGTGTAATGGAGACTAACATATCCAGATGTGAGGATACCATGCAGTATGCATCTCTACTTCCAGACAAAGATGGACTCCCAATGAAACTGTTTACTATATCTTAACAATGGGATGCCGGACTCTGCCGTTGTCCATGGCTGCGATGATGGACATATGATTGTGTATGAAGGAACTATGCTATGCTAATGATATAGAGGAACTCAGTGAGGAGGGGGGAGGGAATTGTGGAGGGGAGAAGGGACATCCCAAGGCCTATGGAACGTATCATAAAATGATAATAATAAAAAGAAGTAAATTTTAAAACATTAAGATGGCTTTAAAAAAAGCAAGCATAGCAGCTCAGGGTGGTGGAGGAAGAAATAAAGGACAGACGTTACCAGGTAACAGCGGAAGGGAGCGCAGAAGCACCGTCATGCTTGGATCCCGTGGTGAATACCTAACGTCTACCCTGGGCCAGGTCACGGGGATTTGCAGCCGCACCTTACAGCGGGGTCCGTCTTCAGGATCAGCAGGTGCGCAGGTGCTGCGGGAAGGAGTAGACGGCCCTGACCCCAGAGTTGGGACTCTCCTACGGAGCTTCTGGGTCCAGAGGGGCTGGGATGAGAGGTTAGAGTCCTGGAGAGGACTTGAGTGCAAATTCATTCCATTTAACTTGATTTTGTTTTCCTGCTTACCTAACCAACGTTTGTTATGAAATAGATATTCTCACAAAGAGAGTGAAGGCCTCTGCTAAATCCTGCTTCCGGCGCACCGCGCACCCTGCGTGGGCCGTGTGCTGTGATGCTCCACAGGACTGCAGACCAGGGCCTGGGCCCGGGGCAAAGGCCTGCATTCGCCCTCCAGCCAGCAGGGGGCGAGACGACGTGCACGCCGCCGCTAGCAGCCGCTCTCTTCCCTACGTCGCTCGCGTAAGCGTCGGTGCTACATACTGCGCCTGCGCACGAGAGACTGCCTTTTTCCCCCCTGCTGCAGGTCCGTGTGGAGCCGCGCTCGCGGGTCTCTGTTCGGCAGAATGGTGAGTGGGTCTCTCGGTCTTGAGGGTCCCGATGCACAGAGGGCTCCTTCTCCTCTCCCGAACGCTGGCTGGGGGCCCATCCTGCGCAGCGTAGGGATCGGATGGCGGCAGATTGCCCGCTCTGCTCCGCTCTGCCGCTCGCTCCCAGCGTGGCCTTAATGGCTGCCGCCCAGTGCCGAGCCGGGCTTGGGGGAGGGGGTGGCGAAGGAGGAGAGCCGGGAAGCTGGGGCGGCGGGTTCGGGAGAGGGCCATGGGTTTGTTAGGCCGTGTGTGGGGATGGGGCCGGCCCGTCTGAGGGGTCCCCGGGCCGGCTGCTGGCAGGGTGCGTGCGGTTGGCCGCAGGCTACCTGGGGATGCCGGGTCCTGCGCTGCGGCTCGACCCCTTCCTGGGCAGGTTTTCCAGGACAGAGGCCGTAATGGCTCGTGATTGGGAGAGTCTCGTCCCGGAGGCCCAGGAAGTGGCTTTTTAAGCCCAGAATGTGCGTGGAGCTTGGATGCCCCCGGGTTCCGGGAGGGCGCCTGACGCCTGCTTCGGCACGTCGCTCAAGGCAGCCGGGATGGGGTCCCGGGCCAGTGCTTGTTAAAGGATCGCAGCCGGGATGGGGTCCCGGGCCAGTGCTTGTTAAAGGATCGCAGCCGGGATGGGGTCCCGGAGGCGGGTGGGATGCAGTGCTCCGTCAGCGGAATCACTGGTAAAAGTGCTGGTGTCTGTGAAGTGTTACGGCAGGTGAAAAAACGGTTTATGGAAAAATTGAGAAGTAGTTGGGGGTCTTGATGTTGGACACCGCTGACTGCTGCCTGGAGCAAGTACAGGGATTTTTGTGAGTGGACATTTAAACACTTAGAAGCGATGCGAATCTGATAGTTGGAACGTGGGCTCTGTGTGCTTCGCTTGGGCTAGTGATTGCTGTGTGACAGAGGGAAAGTAGAAGTGGGTTTGACACAACATGGCAGTTCGTCTGGACTGGCACTTGAGGCTTGAGTGTTACTTTGTTGCATGTTTTGCTCATAAGTATCTTAAGCTAAAACGTTGGCCTTCTGTTTTTGTTTTGCTCTAAGGGGTTTGTTAAAGTTGTCAAGAACAAGGCCTACTTTAAGAGATACCAAGTGAAATTTAGACGACGTCGAGGTAAGATTGCTTCCCCCCCGACTGTTAACAGGCTGTTTTGCGGGAGGAGTGGGCTTTCTGACCTGTTGTGTTGCTTCTTTTCAGAGGGCAAAACTGATTACTATGCTCGGAAACGCTTGGTGATCCAGGATAAGAATAAGTACAACACACCCAAATACAGGATGATCGTTCGTGTAACTAACAGAGATATCATCTGCCAGGTAAACTGCTTCCTGAGCCGGAAGTGCGTGGCAGCCCCTCAGCCCTGGACTCGGGAGGTTGAGACGGAAGAGGCACAGAGCTGGGGCCTCCCTGAGTGAGCTCTGGGGTTCGGAGCTGGATAACCTGGAGAAAAGGGAAACCCGTCCCGATCCCAGGAGAGTGAGGGTTTGTCAGGGCTGAGTCCCGATTCCTGCTGTGCTGCCTTTCAGGGCACTTGCCGTTGAAGAGGGTTAAAGGAGGTGGCTCTCATTCCCACTTGCCTGAATTGCCTCTGGGTTGAATGAACTGGAAGACTTCGCCAGGAGGCAGCTCGCTCCTGGGAACATGTTCTGTTTTGTGCCGGTAGAGCAGGTACACTTGCTCCGGATGCCTGTTGATTGATTGATTGACAAGGCTGTCTGCCTTCATACCGATTCGAGGCAAACCTCAGGCACCTGGGGCTTCATTGATGGCTCCTTTCTAAGGTGCCTGCTCTGCTGGCTGAGCTAAGGTCTTCTGAGTTACAAGTACATTGATAGCCAGTGCCTTTTACAGCTGTAGTTAGTACCACTCTGCTGTGTAGTTCGCAGAGTCAGAGCTGTTTTCATCTGGTTTATTGTGGTTTTAATCCTGTGAGCAGCAGGTTCCTTAAGTTGGCTTTTCTTCCCGTAGATTGCTTATGCCCGGATCGAAGGGGATATGATAGTCTGTGCAGCTTATGCACACGAACTGCCTAAGTACGGTGTGAAGGTTGGCCTGACCAATTATGCTGCAGCCTATTGTACTGGCCTGCTGCTGGCTCGCAGGGTATGTATGAGCTGGAGTGGCTCGCTGCGGGGGTGGTTTGTCCTGAAGATCTTGGCAGCTGGGGCTTACAAGGGCCTCAGGAGGAAGGGGTGTGTATGAGTTTAAGGGATGCGCTGTGTTTTGTAATCATCTAGGGAAGCAGTTTATCTTGCAATTTTCTGCCTGTTTGGCTGTAGCTAGGCCAGCCTGTCTGATAGGGCTTCCTGCCTTGTGCTCTGGTGAGGGAATCTGAACTGACTGCTACTTAACTGGACAGTGCCGACTTGCTGTCCAGAGGTGTACATCATCAGCCTACATTAGTTTTATGCAGGCTTAGAAGGGCTCTGCTCCAGACCCTGGGGACCTTAGACCGTCACAGATGATCTGTATGTTTTGACTGTCACGAAGCAGTGTCTTGAGCTTTGGCCTAGGCAAGAGGGACATTGATGGAAAGGTCTGCATCCTTTTGCCATGAGACAGCTGTGTTTCACATTAAGCCTATACACCACGGTTGAGGACCCATGTCTTCACTTTGGAGTAAGGCAGAAAGCATTGTTATTGTATATCACAGCAACTTGGTGCAACAGCCTTGTTGTGGTAAGACCGTAGCAAGGTGATCTAACAAGCAAAGTGTCCAGAGTAACAGTGCAGGTTGGAGAGCAGAGCCACGAGAGCTGTCCTCCAGCCCAGGGGATTAGAAGCTGCATTGTTGTCATCAAATGTCACTGTGGAAATGTAGGATTAAGCATAAAATAGTGTTAGAATGGTTTGCCTATTCTCCAGCAGGTATTTACATGGGCTTCTTTGTTGCCAGCTTCTGAATAGGTTTGGCATGGACAAGATCTATGAGGGCCAAGTGGAGGTGACTGGAGATGAATACAATGTGGAAAGCATTGACGGCCAGCCTGGTGCCTTCACCTGCTATCTGGATGCAGGCCTTGCCAGAACCACCACTGGCAATAAAGTGTTTGGAGCCCTGAAGGGAGCTGTGGACGGAGGCCTGTCCATCCCTCACAGGTAGTATTAATGTTCCAGAACCCCCTCCCCCGCCAGGTGACTTGTGGAAATTGCTGAGTGAAGCAGAGTGGCTGTATGCCAGGGACTCTGCAAAGGATCCTGACAGGGCAGGACAGAAGGTAGAGGGATTTCTCTAGGGCTGAGGAGCTGAGGTGGAGGCCACTGTCTTTTGCATGGTAAAAGCTAGCAGCACCACTTTCATGGGCCTCAACTTTTAAGATTTATTTTTGTTGGAAAGGCAGATTTACAGAGAGATCCTCTGGTTCACTCCCCAAGTGACTGCAACAGCTATAGCTGAGCCAGGAGCCAGGAGCTTCTTCCAGATCCTTCCAGATCTGTCACATGGGTGCAGGGCCGCTTTCCCAGGTCACAAGCAGGGAGCTGGATGGGAAGTGGCACCACTGGGATATGAATTTGTAACCAGCAGTTGCAGACAGAGGATTAGCTTGTTGAGTCATAGCTCTGGCCCCACACATGTACATTTTGTTTTTTCATTCAAAGTAAAAGGTTTATTGTACTACAGAAGAATGGGTTCTAGAATAAAAAGTTTGAGAAGCCTTATTTAAAAACTTCTAAACTTGAAGCTAAAATAAGTGCAAGTCACTTGAATTTCTAGTTCTTTAGGTTCAGCTAACAATTTTTTGTTGAATACATGTATATTGATTTCTATGTGTCCACAAGGCAGAGTGACAGGACAAGATCTTCATCCATTGGTTCACTGAAAATGTCTGTAAGAGCCTGGAACTTGGTCCCGTCCTGCTCTCCCCCGTGGGTGGCAGGTGGTCATTTGCTGTCTAGTGATCAGTTCCTTCCAGTTAGAGACAGGAATGAGGCCTGCATGTACCAAGAACACTGCTTGGGCGATTTTGCTCTGGGACCTGAGGGAGGAGGTGGGGAGCCTGCAGGACCTTTGGGATGCAGACTCACTGAGGTGGATTTTTGAGGTGGTTGCGGTGTGGCTTTCCTTCCCAATTGGAATTCAAAGATGAGCTGCTGAGTGATGATATGCCCGTAACTGAGCTGTCCGCAGTTGGTCCTTCGGCTGCATATGATGCAACAATTGTTTCAAGACGGGACTGATAGCAGCTACTGACATGAATTCCTACTGGGGAACTAGTTTCTATCAGGGTATACTAAAATATGAAAAATTTATTTTAGTACCAAACGATTCCCTGGCTACGATTCTGAAAGCAAGGAGTTTAATGCGGAAGTACATCGGAAGCACATCATGGGGCAGAATGTTGCAGACTACATGCGTTACCTAATGGAAGAAGACGAAGATGCCTACAAGAAGCAGTTCTCTCAATACATAAAGAACAATGTGACTCCAGACATGGTAAACAATTTACCTGAAAATGGCTGTGCGGGTTCACGTAGAACAGATTGTATTGCTCTTGTAGGGCTCCATTCTTAGGTGTGTTTCAGAAGTTGAAACTGGGTGGGTTCATAGCTTGCCTGGCCTGAGTTGTTGGTTTCCAATGAAGGTGACAGGCAAGAGCCTGCTTAGCAGGTCAGGTGGGTCGGATGAGTGATGAGCTGGACTGCGCATGCTGTCGGGAATTAATGGCAAGCTTTGGCCCTTGCATGTTGTGCCTTTGATGCTTTGGCTTCTTTTTGTTAAGTTATTTTTATTGGAAAGTCAGGTTTACAGAGAGGAGAGGCAGAGAAAGATCTTCCATCCTTGACTGCTTTCCCAGGCCACAAGCAGAGAGCTGGATAGGAAGTGGAGCAATTGGAATACAAACTGGTGCCCATATGGGATTTAGGTGCATTCTAGGCAAGGACTTTAGCTACTAAGCTACTGCACCAGGCCCAAGGTTGTGAACAGTGGACCCTTAGAGCTGAACTTAAACCTCGGGGGCCACTTCTGTTAATAGAGTAACTGAAGGTACCAGTTTTGAAATTTTGGTGAAAATGTAGGCCACAAGTCACGTGAACTGTTAATTCAGAGTAATTGTCTGTCAGTAATGTCCCCAACTCTCACATTGTGGTTACAGATGCTTGTTTTTCCTTAGGCTGTGCTAAAGGTAGACTGCTCTTCAGCTGCTGTAGCTTTTCAGCTGCATCATTAATGTTTATCTGCCATGGCCCGTTTCCTCCTTGTACCTCCGATATCCTCTGCAGGCTTCCCCTGTGTCTGCTATCAGGAAATCTGCTTGACCCAGATGGCATCACCTAATCGCCCACACATAGTTGAATTTCCTGCGTGTCCCTTGGAAGAAACAAAATGGGCTTGTTGAGATATAATGACTACTAAAAGTCCTGGGCTGGTCTGCTAAGTGCAGTGGTAGTTCCTACTCAATTCTGAGAGTTAGAAAAGAGGTCTTGCATCCATTGATTTGCTCTCAAATGGCTGTATCAACCCGAACTAGACAGGAGTTTTCCTCTGCTTCTCCTTTCTGGGTACAGGGGCCCAACGACTTGAGCCATTTCCCATTGCTTTCTCAGGCACTCTGCCTGGGAGCTGGATCTGAAGTGGTACGGCCGGGACTTGGCTCCAGCACTCATGCGGGAAGCCAGCACTGCAGGTGGTGGCTTACCTTGTGCCAGATTCAGCCCTGGTCATTGAAACGAGTGAATGTGGGTTAGCTTGACGTTCTTAGATGACTGTAGCTGGGATGGCTTTTCAGATACTGGTGACTGGTGGGAGCGAAAGATGGAGATCAAACGGGGCGGGAGGGTGTGGGCTGGTTAGGTGTCTTCAGCAGGGCTGTGATTGTTCAGTCCCATTTGCTGCACCGTTTTTTGGGCACACACCCTCACTTGGGTGAAAGCTTTTTTTTAACTATTATTTTTAGTGGGAAGCTCAGTGTTGTGCATTTGCCAAAAAAAAAAAGTATTTTGTCCGCTGGAAAAACAAGCATATTTTTCTTGAGTAAGATAATTTACATTGCACAAGGTAAACATTGGCAAGCTGATAGGAAAATTTAGGTTACATTTAAGTAGATAGCAATATTGATTTAGTTCCTTTTGAGCATCTAGCTTAGGGAGGGACAGAATAAATGGAGTGGGTAGAATGCTGTACACGAATGTAGGGCGTATGAAATGAAACAAGTACTGTTTGCTTGCCTTTGTTTCAGATGGAGGAGATGTACAAGAAAGCCCACGCGGCGATCCGGGAGAATCCAGTGTATGAGAAGAAGCCCAAGAGAGAGGTGAAGAAGAAGAGGTATGTGCCTCTCAGGAAGGGGGGGGAGAGTAGTTCCCAGTCCCCGCGGTGTGCAAACTCGATCACTAGCTCTGCGTCCTGTGGCAGAAGCGAGGGGAACCAGGTTTGCTAAAGTAATTGTGGGGCTAGCACCGTGTGAGCCTCAGAAGCTGCTGAGGTGGCCGGGCTACCCCAGGACAGTGTCGGTGCCCCTGGCTCCTGCAAGAGAAGTTGACTTTTGTCAATCTGTTCCAGTCTGTGGATGGAATAAGTGATCCTTGATGGTCCTAAGCACTAACTTGTTAACAAGTCGTTAGGTTCTTTGGCCACATGTGAGTAGGCCACCATCACAGAAATTGCTTGGGAAAAGATGACATAAGTATATTCATTAGAACTTGAATTATTTAACCTTCATCTAATAATGGAGTCTCATTTTCAACTGAGATGAAATGTCATGTCTTCCTTATGTATGCATTTAAAATATTGCTGTTTTCTCAATTTCTACTTTGCCTTTTAGGTGGAACCGTCCCAAGATGTCCCTTGCCCAGAAGAAAGATCGGGTAGCCCAAAAGAAGGCAAGCTTCCTGCGCGCTCAGGAGCGGGCTGCTGAGAGCTAAACCAAACATTTTCTATGAAGATTTTCCTGATAAAGATAATAAACTTATTGACACAGCAACTCTTTTGTGTTGCGCTCTTGTTGTGAAACTATAGGAGGCATCCTGAGGTGCATATAGAAGCGGAGTCGGCAGTTCTGTTCAAGGAAACAGAAAACATTGGCTGTGACTCCCATAAAATTGGCACCTATTTCTTGGGCTTCTGTTCTTCCTGACAGGAAGTAACTCTCAGATTTTACGAAGTGCAACAGACCAACGATCATTTGGAAATGTTTCTTCCATTCATTTATTGCGACCAGATGGTTAGTTGGGAAGAAAGAGTATCCTCAATGTACAAACCTAAGGCATACAACACTGGTGCTTAACCCATGGCTTTGGAGGGAATTCTGGGCTGGACGGTGGATGTAGATGGGACACCTTGACCTGACCCGGTCACAGCTCCAAGACGTGTTGGAGTAGGTGAAGATGTTGACAGGTGCCTGCCAGGACCTGCATGGGAGAGGAGCATATCAAGTTGGCAGGAACAGATATATTAGCTGAATAGTTTTACATGCCACTTTAAGAACTAGCCCTTTGTTCCACAGGAAATAACGGTTTGGAAGTGGAAAATTACTATTAGTCTTTAATTCAACCTTGCGCATTCCTGTAGCTTGAATTGGTAATGGATCTGGACTGGGTCGGTGATCTTGGATGTCAATTTGAAGAGTTCAGATAGTAAAACACACCCTTCAGGTGTAGGATGATGAGAGATTATATTTTGGCCACAAAAATGGGTAACTATATCAAGTAGAACACTAGCTTAAGCTTAAAATCACAGAAAAATCCAGAAGCTTATAAAACATTACTGAGAATAAAATAATTATATAATAAATCATGCTATTAACATCTGTTTATAAAGGAGTGCTTTTAATTTACCTGTTTTGCAGTTTTAATTTTTGTTAATGTGCAAACTTTACCATGCTAAGACATTAGTACATTTGTTTATAAATCTTTTAGAACAGTAGCTTCAATGCAAATGTTTCCAGCAATGGTCTTTTGGCTAACAAATCTACAAAACACTTGATGTTTATGGAATGAGGCTTTTCACAGCGTTGTTTCAGTCATTAGTCATAGCTAAGTTACTGGGGATCGCAGTAACAGCTTCTGAAAGGCGCAAGGCTGACCTTGGACTTGGTGATCTATCTAACACCTACCCTTCAGTAACCACACGAATTCAGCCTGGGCTGGGGGGGTGGCCTCTGAATTAGAAGCAATATTTTAAAAATGTTCAAAACCATTCAGAAGTGGTGTGTTTCCCACAATGGCAACAATGTCCAAGTGAACTAAGAGTCATTTGTGTAGGAAATTTTCTTCCATAATAATGTCTTTAGGTTATTTAGTATCAAAGAATGTTCCATTTCCATCTGGTTGGCTGTGACTTTGAGAGCAATACAAGAGTAAAGCTGTTTCTCTAACTCCTCGCGGATCTCCCCAGGAGCACCACGCAGCAGGTAGTCTTTGAGCAGCTGACAAGCTTTTGCCAAGTTGGGCTGTATCACCTCTGAAGTACACTTCATAGTACTCTGGTCACAGCTAGTTCTACAATCTGTGCCATAGACACAGTCCGAGTCGGACTCACAGTGGCGGTCCTTGATCAGTTCTTTCAGGTTTGTCTCTGGCACAATTTTTCTCATGTCTACCATTTTCAAATCATACTTATCATTATATCCTAGGTTTTTGGCACTAGTATCACACATGAGGAAGTTTCCATAAGGACCATGGAAAACATCTTCCACGAACTCGAGAAGGCCTATGGCTATTTTAGCCTTTCTTGGCCACGATGGTGTGAACAGCTGGTCCATGGTCCTTCTGAACCCAGATGGAATGAAGAGTTCAATGACCCAGGGAAGGTTGATTCCATACAGAGAGGTATATTCGACACTTTCCATCACGTAGAGGTCACCACAGAATCCCATTAGCTTGGGGGTATGCTCTTTATCCTGAAGTATCACCATGAGAAGAAACTCATTCAGCTGAAGAAGAGCCCAGGCTGACTTAGCTTCCCCCAGGGACACCTGGCCATCTTTGTCTCCATCAGCCACCGTCAGGATGAGGTTCACTAGTTCGGAGAGGTTTCCTTGGTCACCCAGCTTTGCCTGTCACGAATTATAGGGAAGAAATGAACAACTAATACCATATACCTGAAAGGTCTTTTCTGAGCATCTTCCCCAAGCTAGTAATCCTTTCTGTAAAAAGGCAGAGATCCTCCACCTGCTGGTTTACTCCGTGCAGGTCTGCGGCAGCCAAGGAGGGGCCAGGCCGAAACCAGAGGCAGGGACTCCGGCTAGGTCTTCCCTAGAGGTGGCAGGGACCCAAGCAGTCTGCCGTATCGCTGTGCACATCAGCAGGAAGCAGCACTGGGAACAGAGGAGCTGGGACTCAAAGCACTCAAGTATGGGACTTGGGTGCTACTGGGTAGCTGTAACACTTTGCATCACTATTTTTCTTAAGCAGCTCAGAGCCATGTTGTAGGGGTGGGCATTTGGCACAGGTAAGATGCTTTATGGGATGCCTATGTTCCCTGTCAGAGTGCCTGGGACTGAGCCCTGACTCCACTTCCAATCCAGCTTCTTGCTAATGCACACCCTGGGACACAGCAGGTGGTGGCTCGAGTGCTTCAGTAGCTGCCACCCACATGGGAGACCTGGATGGAGCTTCAGGCTTCTGGCTTTGGCCTCACCACACCCCTTCCCTGTTCCCTTTCCCTGCTTCCCCACTGCCCTGGCTCTTATGTCACTTGAGGCATTGCCAGCTGCTTTCCTAGATACATTAGTGTGAAGTTGTACTGGAAACAGAACAGCTAGACACATCCTGGTGGCCTGATACGGCTGTGCCTCAACACCAAGTGTCCCCCTTTACCGCTCGCTCCCCTCACCATCTCACCCTTTGGGTGTCAGACTACAGTAATCCAACCAGGTACTGAAACTGTCTCATAACTGGACCTTTTTTTTTTGTTTGCTGCCATAATTAACCATCTTCCAACATGTATTTCTTCTTGTTATCTCTTTGAGACGCAGTGCTGCTAGAGGTGAAAGTCTGTCACCTTTCACTGTCTCTGGGTGAGGCTCGGTTGGTTCCTGCGGGACAGTACCCTTCATGTAGTACTGTGCGAACAGCTGTACTTACCTTGAAGAGGCTGTAGACCATTTCTTTGAATTTCTGTACAGTAGTTCCCCTCGTTGGCTTATCAAATAGCACAATTTCTTTCCTAGGTTCCAATTCAGTTCCAAAATCCACATGAAGTGCTTGTTCCATTTGGCATTTCACAACACCGGGTAGGTTATCCCAAATCCCTAAATACATCTACATGGGAAAGAGTGACAAGTTACACTTAGTAGAAAACTACAAAAACACAGCACTATATTTTTGAAGTTCACCATAATGGCCAGGGCTGGGTCTGGTCAAAATCAGGGACCTGGGGGGCCCGGCGCGGTGGCGCAAGTGGTTAAAGGTCCTCGCCTTGCACACCCGGGATCCCATATGGGCGCCGGTTCTAATCCCGGCAGCCCCGCTTCCCTTCCAGCTCCCTGCCTGTGGCCCGGGAAAGCAGTCGAGGACGGCCCAAAGCTTTGGGAACCTGCACCCGCGTGGGAGACCCGGAAGAGGCTCCTGGCTTCGGACCGGCATAGTATCGGCCCGTTGCGCTCACTTGGGGAGTGAATCATCGGACGGAAGATCTTCCTCTCTGTCTCTCCTCTCTGTATATCCGCCTTTCCAATGAAAAAATAATAAAAATAAATCTTTAAAAAAAAAAAATCAGGGACCTGGGTATGATAGCCTAGTGGCTAGATTCTCGCCTTGCATGTGCCAGGATCCCATGTTGGTGCTGGTTTATGTCCCGGCTGCTCCACTCCCCTTCCAGCTCTGTCTGTGGCCTGGGAAGGCAGTGGGGGATGGGCCAAAGCCTTGGGACCCAGCACCCCCGTGGGAGGCTTAGGGGAGGCTCCCGGCTCCTGATCAGTTCAGCTCTGGTTACTGCAGTCACATGGGAGTGTATCAGCAGATGGAGGATCTTTCTCTCCTCTATGTGAATCTGACTTTCCAATAAATTAAAAAATAATAATAAATCATAAAAAAAAGAAGACCCAAAACACAGGCACCCGGAGCTTCTACTGGGTCTCCCATGTGGGTGCAGGGTCCCAAGCACGTGGGCCATCCTCTGCTGCTTTCCCAGACCACAGCAGGGAGCTGGATCGGAAGTAAAAAAGTTAAGGTTCAAACAGGCACTCATATGGGATGCTGGCATCCCAGGCAGAGGCTTACAATGCAATGCTACAATGCTAGCTTCTATAGTTTCTTTAAGACTTTTTCTAAGACTCATTTTATTGTTTTTTGAAAGTCAGATATACAGAGAGGAATAAAGACAGAGAGGAAGATCTTCTTTCCGTTGATTCACACCCCAAACAGCCGCAATAGCTGGAATTGAGCCGAATTGAAGCCAGGAGCCTGGAGCCTCTTCCGGGTCTCCCACACGGGTGCAGGGTCCCAAGGCTTTGGGCTGTCCTCGGCTGCTTTGACAAGCCACAAGCAGGGAGCTGGATGGGAAGTGGAGCTGCCAGGATTAGAACTGGTGCCCATATGAAATCCCAGTGTGTTCCAGCCGAGGACTTTAGCCGCTAGGCCACAGCGCTGGGCCCACGGTCCTTTTTTTCTTTTAGGAAATTTTACTTTGGGGCAGAGAGGGACAGATAGAGAGAAAGCACTCCTATTCACCAGTTCACTCCCCAAATGCCAAAGGTGGGAGTCAGAAATTTCCTGGGGTCTCCAGTGTGAGTCCCAGGAGCCCAGCTACACAGGGTCCATGGTGGAAGGAAGTGCAGCTCGGCCTCTGTGGTCATCTGGGGAGTGAACCAGTGGAGGGAAGATCTCTGTCCCCTGTGTGGTGCCTCTTCTCTCTAACTCTGCCTTTCAAATCAAAATACGAAACTAACCAGAGCGCGTGCTCACACACACACCCCAGCCTCCTGGTGCCTTGGCCATCTCGCTGCTTCTCCTTCAGCCCCAGGCTGCTTTACTGACACTGACGTCACAGGCGTCTCGGCGTCTGACCGAGCCCATCCCGCACCGGGCCCAGCCTGCAGTCCGGCTCTCCATCCAGGTCCACGTTCAGCTGCCACCTCTCACAGCCTTCCCCACGGGCTCCTCTCGGGGACACATCGCCAGGCTCCTGAGGGGTGATGGCCGACAGCAGACGGCCGCCGCGCTCGGCCTGCCTTAACCACTACCGCGTCCTAGCACCTAAGACAGGGTCCACGAGCTGCTGGGACTGGGACCTAGTGTCTGCTGCGTGAAAGCCTCAAATCACACACATTGAAAGGACACGTAACAAGTTTGTTCCTTCTCGTTTATCATGATGTTTATTATTATATGACTTCACTTTCAGTACCTTGCACCTTAGGGAAATTAGATTAAAGTCAATGGTGGGCTTTTGGAAGATGCTACTTTCATGGTTTGGCAAAGAACCTGGTCATAATATACATCCCCGCTCAAAAAGAATCCCTTAGAAAGTTCTGCAGTTACTCCTGTCTGCTCTACTTTCCTTTCCATCCCATTAATTCTTTTTTTTTTTTTTACGATTTACTTATTTTTATTGGAAAGGCATATATACAGGGAGGAGGAGAGACAGAGAGGAAGATCTTCCGTCCGATGGTTCACTCGCCAAGTGGCTGCAATGATGAGCTGAGCCAATCCAAAGCCAGGAGCCAGGAACTTCCTCCAGGTCTCCCACACGGGTGCAGGGTCCCAAGGCTTTGGGACGTCCTCGATTGCTTTCCCAGGCCACAAGCAGGGAGCTGGATGGGAAGCAGAGCTGCTGGGATTAAAACCGGCACCCACATGGGATCCTGGTGCATTCAAGGCGAAGACTTTAACCATTAAGCTATCGCACCAGGCCCCCATTAATTCGTCTAATTTGACTTCTTTCATTCCTGCTCCCCTTACTATTTGTATAAATATATATATTAATATATATTAAATATATGTTTTTTCCATAACAAGCCTACAAGGCTCTGATTCAAGAATTCTTTTAAGGCCTGGCACTGTGGCGCAGCCAAGTAAAGCCATTACCTCCGATGTTGACATCCATATGGCCACTGGTCCGAATCCCAGATGTTTCCGTTCCAACCCAGTTCTCTGCTAATGTGCCTGGGAAAGCAGCAGGGCATGGCCCATGTGCTTGGGCACCAGCACCCATGTGAGAGACTCGGATGAAACTCCTGGCTCCTGGTTTTAGCTTCCTTTATCACTGGAGCAAGTAACCGTTCTGGAGGAGGTCCCCCCCGTGCATACCTGGTTGCTGGGCTTGGTGGATAAGCATTTTCCAAAGTAGAGAGTTTCTGTGACACACAGGCTGTTACACGCAGGCCCATCAATGACTCCAGTCTTGTACTTGTCACACTGAAAACCAGAAGATTAAAGAAAAAAAAAAAACAGTTACTAGAAAGAAAAATGTCCACAAGAAGGAACACCCAAGAAATACCGTTAAGGGGACCCCCACTTAAGGGAAAGTTCTATGATGAGAGTTCTCAGGCTGGGGGCGCAGTTGGCCTTGGATCTGACCACAGCCTCTGTGCCGGGGCAGAGCTGCTCCAGCTGTGAGCACTCAGCTTGCCCATGACCTTCCCGCTCTTAGCCTAAGGTTCCTGCGGCTTCCGCTCCCGCTCAGAACAGAAGCTCTCTCTCTCTCAAAAGGTGGCTTCGGTTTTCAAACCAAAATGTTTAAATAAGAACATTATTGGAAACAACAAATTCACTATTTATTTCGTGATCCCTGAGACAACACAGCAACAGGAAGGAAACTGGGACTCTGCCCGGGGAGACAAAGGCGTGAGCGGAGCCCCGAGCACATCAAGGACAAGCTGCTAAACGGACCACAAAGGAGAGGCGGGATGGAGGCAGGTGTCTGTGCCAGCATGCAGCCGGCCTAGGGCGGCAGGGGGCATGTATGGCTGAGGGGCGCGGGTATCACCCCGTGATTTTTTTTTTTTTTTTACAGAGAAGAGGAGAGACAGAGAGGAAGATCTGCCACCCGATGGTTCACTCCCCAAGTGACTGCAATGGCTGAAGCTGAGACAATCTGAAGCCAGGAGCCTGGAGCCTCCTCCAGGTCTCCCACGCAGGTGCAGGGTCCCAAGGCTTTGAGCCATCCTTGACTGTTTTCCCAGGCTGCAAACAGGGAGCTGGATGGGAAGTGGAGCTGCTGGGAAAAGAACTGGTGCCCATATGGGAGCCCAGCGAGGAATCTAGCCACTAGGGTCCTACCCCATGATTTTAAAGAGGCTTATGGAAATGGTCAAAGGAAGCAGTCAAGGGCTGGTGTGGCGCAGCGGGCTAAGTTACCGCCTGGGACACTGGCAGACCTTACCAGAACACTAGGGCAGCCCCAGCCCCTTCACTTCCAACCCAGTTCCCTGGGAATGTAGAGGAAGATGACCGAAACACCTGTGCCCTTGCCACCCATGTGGGAAACCCGGATGGAGTTCCTGGCTCCTGGCTTTGTTCTGATCCAGCCCTTGGCGTTGCAGCCATTTGTAGAGTGAACCAGGAGATGGAAGATCTCTCTCTGACCATTCCCCCAGCACCACTCTCACTCTGCCTCTCAAATCAATACAATGTTTTAATTTATATATTTATAGAATAATGTATTTTATTAAAAAATATTTCCAAAAAAGAAGAAATGATGGAGAATAGAATGCAAAAGGAGATAACAGAACTAACAAAGGGAAAAAAGCCCCAGAAATAAAAGTCACATTACAAGTGCGGGGGGGGGGGGAGGTACAGAACAGATAAAGAAAAATGCAAGCCTAGGGTATCAGGTGAGGACCGGGGAAGGTGAGCGGGGTAAAATGGGAGACAGGCAGACTAAGCGGGCCGCTGGCTCAACGGACAAACACATAAGTCAGATGACGCACGTCAACAGGAGAGAAAACAGAGTAAAGTAGAAAAGAAAAGAAAAGCCCTCCAAGTACAGTTCAAGGAAACTTCACGCAAATGAAGGAACGTTTCAATTTACAGATCAAAAGGACACAGACCGCCCCAGTAAAAATGAGATGAGTAACCCCGGAACACCCCAGTGATGGTCACTGGACTTCAAAAGCCAATAGTCCTTCAAGCTTCTGGGCAAAAAGGCCAAGACTCCGTTCCGAGAAAAGCTACACCAGACTGGACGCCGAGATCTTCAAGGCCACTTTCAATCCTGGACAGCAGTACGAGGTCTTTGGGGAAGGAAGTGTGACTTGCCCGTGCGGACACGTTCTCCCCTGTACAAACTGAAGCTAGCAGCGTGGCAGAGGGCGGGCACTCGGCCCGGTGGGTAAGATGCCAGCTGGGAATGTGGGCATCTCATCCTGGAGTGGCTGGGTTTGAAGCCCAGCTCTACACCTGATCCAAGATTCCTGCTAAAGGGAGACAGCAGGGGATGGCCCAAGGAACTGGGTCCCTGCCATCCCAAGCGGGACCTGGCTGGAGTGCCGGCTCCTTGCCTCTGCCCGGCTCAGACCGAGCCTCGGCAGGCATTTGGGGAAGGAACTAGCAGACCAGAGCTCTCCCTCTCTAATAAACTGATTAAAATTTTTTTTTAAAAAAAAGAAAGCTAAAAGTTCTTTGGAAACAAAAAAGAGACTTTTGTTTAGGAAAACAGGATTCTGAGGAAAAAAAAGGAAGAATAAACATTAGGAAAAGCAATGATTGTGTTAGAAACAACTTTATGGCAATACACTTGAACAATTTTTCTAGGAAAACAAATAACATCACTCAAGAAGTAGAAAAGCTTGGGCCCGGCGCGGTGGCGCAAGTGGTTAAAGGTCCTCGCCTTGCACGCCCGGGATCCCATATGGGCGCCGGTTCTAATCCCGGCAGCCCCGCTTCCCTTCCAGCTCCCTGCCTGTGGCCCGGGAAAGCAGTCGAGGACGGCCCAAAGCTTTGGGAACCTGCACCCGCGTGGGAGACCCGGAAGAGGCTCCTGGCTTCGGATCGGCATAGTATCGGCCCGTTGCGCTCACTTGGGGAGTGAATCATCGGACGGAAGATCTTCCTCTCTGTCTCTCCTCTCTGTATATCCGCCTTTCCAATGAAAAAATAATAAAAAAATAAATCTTTAAAAAAAAAAAAAAAAGAAGTAGAAAAGCTTAAAAAGACTCAGACATATGTTAAAATAAAAATTTTTTAAAAATCTGACTCAGTAACCCTAAGCCTTTCCCTCTCATGAAAGCAGGTCAGGAAGGACTTCAGGAGGCCGTCCGGGAAGCTGTTTGTAAGATGGAAAACAGACGTCCATGTAGTCGCCCGTCAGGAGAAGGGCTGAACAAGATGCTGGTGTGTTCATACAAAGACAACAGGAGAACCGAGTCCTTACAGGTCAATGTTAAGTGGAAGAGCCACGGAATGACGGGCAGGTTAGCACAGAAGCACGCAGACAGTGCCTTGACTCGGGTACCCGCCGGCACACGGCACAAGGACAGACCATGACGGCAGGGCCTCACACCCAAGTCAAGACGGCTGTCACTCTGAGGCTGAGGAAAAGGGAGTCTCCGCTGTCCCTGCAATGCTTTGCTCCGCTCTGGAAGAAATGAAGCCAGAGCGGCCACTTGGCCTGGTGATGGAGACGCCCAGCACCCATCTCAGGGTGACTCCAGCTTCTGGCTACTGTGGACCCGGGAGGCAGTGGTGCTGGGGGCAAGCAGGTGGATTCCTGCCCGGGAGGCAGTGGTGCTGGGGGCAAGCAGGTGGATTCCTGCCGCCTATGTGGGAGAGACCTGGATGGCGTGCCTGGCTCCTAGCTTCAGCCCTGCCACCAGACATCTGAGCAGGAAGCCAGCGGATGGGAGCTCTCTGTTCCTTTGACTGTCTCTTTATCTTTCTCAAATAAAATATCACATCAAATTAAAATGAAGCAAATATGGCAAAAGGTTATGATGTGCTAAGAAGGTCAGAAGTATACAGGTGTCTGTTATATTGGTTGCTATATGGCATTATTGCTCTAAGAGATAAGCAGAGGAAAAGCTTTCGTCCTCACAGTCTCTACAGAACAGATAACACCACTGTTTCCATTCCACTGGATGACGTAGCCTGCAGCAGCGACGGGCATCGGGTGTCAGGAAGCTGTAGCTCTGGACACCTGCTTGGCTGGAGCCCTGACTCCCTTCCCAAGCCAGTTTCCTGTTGATGCAGACCCTGCAAGGCAGATGACAGCTGAAGCACACAGGTCCCTGCCACCCAGGAGGATGGTCCAGCTTTGAAATCCCGGCTCCTGACCTCAGACCGGCACAACCCTGGCTGCTGGAGGATTTGGGTCATGAACCAGAAGGTGGAAGATCTCACAGTGTCAGGTTTAGTCTGTCACCTACACCAGTTGCCTGGTCAGTTCTACCCCAGCCCCATCTCTCCTGCAAACCGGCAGGTGCTGTGGCCTAGCTCGGCCCAGACTGTTACAGGCCCAGCCTTCACACACAGGTGGGTGCCTAGTTAGGGTGACCTCCCCAATAAACTCCATCAGACCTACCCTGAGTCGTGGTTTTTGTGCATGATAACAGGTGCTGTGGCCTGGAGTGTCCCATCCTGCATCAAATCTGGCTCTTGTATGCACCCATGGGTGCTGCCACCTTATCTAACCTGGCCTGCCCCCCAGCCCTGGCTCTCATGTTCACCCACAATTGTGGCCTAGCAGGGGAATGCCCACAGTTCTCTCACCAGGCCCACATCCAGCCCTGGATGCCAGCCCACATGGCCTTGTGGGTGCTGCAGCCCAAATGGGTGGGAGCCTTGACCTGACCCACCCATGCATTCCAGATTTTCCTGGTTGACCAACCCCATGTCAGTTCCACAGCACCTGCCAGCAGAGTGGCCTTGACTTTGGAAGACCCCAGGAGCATTTCCACATCTGTCAAACAAACATGTACTCAAGTGACCAGTGTCCTTCCCTGGCCAATCTGTAGCATACCCCCACCATGCCACCCAGAAGGTGCTGGGAGACATGGTGGCTTCTGCAGTGGGGCCAGTGTGGCATCACCGGCCCTGCACCCTACTGCTCTCGTTGGGTGGGGCGGCACCATGTTTCAAGTTCTAACACTGGTTTACTTTGTCTTCCCTCCTGCTAAAAAGCAAAATGGTTTGCAGGTAGAGATTCTGCCACACAGTTCAGTATTTAAGCAGTTATTAAATTAAAGAGCCTGGTAGTTTTGTTTTTCAAACTACACCGAGGATAAAGTGAATGTTTTTTCATTTCTCATAACTCTAATTTTTTTCTTTTCTTTTTCTTCTTCTTCTTCTTCTTTTTTTTTTTTTTATGAAAGCACAAAACCAGGTAGCTGATTAGGCAACTGGTGAGCAGGGAAGAAAATCTGGCATTCAGCTACAAGAATCAGATTCTTGTTTTGAGCAAAGGCCTCCAGCCAACCCTG